TATTTTATTTATTTATTTATTTATATTTCGCTAAGCAAGCTAATACAAGAAAAGCAACAAAAGTTTTAGCAAATTGTGATTAGGTCAAAACATAATGTATTTCAAGACTAATATTAAATGCGAGGAAAAACGATGTAGCTTGTGTTAAATAACTAGTAAGATTAGAAACTGATCAAATCCGCAACTGAACGGTGACATTATGGCTTGTGTTGTAACGTGCTCAAAGCGGGGCTTGTTTGGTCTAGTATTTGTGTCACATACAAGGTGGCGCCCTCGTGCGTTATCTGATAAACGTTTACATACGCGGCTTAAATATTGTTTACGTTTTGTAGCATTTCATTTTTAAAGAAAACAGCAATGTTCCGGTGTTTTTGTTAGCACATCGGGAATAAGAGTACTCGGTTGTGTTGCCATTTGTTACATGTAAATGTTTAGGAGCCGGAACGTCCTAACAAGGTCATCAATAATAGTAATATTTCGATAAGTAAATAAATTTGGCAGAATTCTAGACTCGAACCTCGTTATTTGTGTATAAAGTGCTGATAAATATGCGTAAATAGTGCGACATCCTGTTATTTGCGATTTGGGCGCGGCATGAGGTCACTATACTGCCCAATTGACGAGTAAGGATACTGGTGTGGTGAGCCGGTTCGATCTGGATACATCTGATTTTGTTATCACTGATTTTTATATAGATTAAATGTTTATCAGAGTATGTTTAACAGTATATGTTTACAAATCACCTTCAAAGCTAAACGGAATAACCGTGTGCTTTCACTGTTGAAACAATTGAAGGAAAGATATTGTCTTCTCTATCAATCTCTTTAACAAAACAGAGATAAAGATATGTTTAATGATTTCCTTTTCTCTCTTTAGTTATTTGTACTATGCTGAAAATACCTAATACAGTTGTAAAGTGTTAGGTCCGTGAAATGATGGCAATGCCGAATACCATCGGATCCGTCTGGCGCTGGTGGGCGCATTCCGCCGCGGATAGTGAAAGTCGTGATTCATGATTTCAGACTCGCGACCTGGGGAACGAAGCTGCGATCGCAACTGCAACTCATCTACGCAATAAACGCA